ATGCTTTTAAGTATGAACATGTCCTTGCCAAGAAGCACTATCATTAACTGCGCGACAAAATCTTTAAACACCTTGCTTTGTGAAATAAAAGGATGAGTCTTCTTGCTCATCTCGTTTGCCAAAGGTGGCTTAGTAAAGACATGATTTATGGGTACGTACTGCCATGTCTCCTAATGCTTTAGAACACAAAATGATAAAATGACAGGGGAAGAGTCCCTTTAGGTGGAGCTGTTAAAATACAGTTTAAATTTCTCAAAACAATCTCTCCACACTCTTGTATCGCACAACTGACTAAATTAGGTAAAAGGAAGATGAAGATGATTATAAAAATTGTGAATGAAATCCAAAAATTTGTTATTCATGTGAATTGTCATAGCCAATGTGTGCGTTGCGATGATAATTAAAAGATATGGCGAGAGGAATATTTCCACAAGACGTGCACAACAAGGTTTTATGGGGGAACTTTAGCAACAATTATTTCACTCGAAAAGGGATGAATAGATTGTGCAACCCCATTCAATTTTAAGATCGGTCGAGGGCCCTTTTCACAAAGCCAAACCTCTACCTTAGGACGGTAAAATTTAATCGTATCAGCCATTAATAGTAGCTATAGGAAGTTCTTTCATGGTCTGAAACAAATTGAGATGGCTTTCTTGATGCTTTGTAATTCTTAATTTTTACCATTTTTTGGTTCCACAATTTTCATCTCCAACTTATTCAATCAAAAAATTTTTCCCTTGGAGCTGTTGATGGGAAGCAGCTTCAATCTCCTTTCATATGCTTCATCTTAAGGACCGTCTTACAATCTGCTTTATAAAAGGAGGCAACGTATTCGAGAGGTAGAAAGTAATTAACGCAATATTTATGATTTGTTAAAATGCACCTTTCTGGCAAGAGGCGAGGGCACAATTCCAATATCCTTTTTTAAGAAGCAGAACAACGCCTCTTATCAAGCTCACTGCCTTCTTCTGTTATCGTTTAGCTGACAAAGATTCCTCAAGATAATCATTTCCCTCCTACTCGGTATGGCTGTAAGGCGGGGGGAGGGGGGAAGGGGAGAACTGGCATTTGCTTTCAAGACCTCACTTCTACAGGAAGTGTGGCTTGGCTTAAACTTGGTCTATTTGGGTTAGGATTGAAGGCATCAGTGTCAAACCATCGCTTCACAAGTGCAGTCGCTGCGTGGAGTGGCCGAGCGCACCAGGCACCCAGTGTGTGTACATTCTAACTAGCAAATAAACTTTTTAACGAGAATGGATCATCGGACACGTTTCCCTTAGTGCTAATTCTGTACAATTGGGATATTATACTTTATCTAAAGCCGGTCTGCTAAGACTTGACTAATATCGGATGTGTTATTATAAAAATAAGTGAAGTTGAGGCGCATATTTGCTCAACATAATCACATATTTTGCGAAAACAAAGAGGTCTTAATTTCGTTCTCTCCACTCTGTAAGAGTGGAGAATGAGACTTCTCGTATTTAACAAGGTAGTATTAACTTTAGTGTGGAGAAAAAGCTGTGCTCCGCTGGATTAATAATTCTGAAGCCCCGATAGTAACCAGAATGCTAAAGATTGCCGTGCGATTCAAAGAACGCACTAAAATTGCAGTATCAAGGCGGAGAATGAAATGCATTGATACTGGCTTGGCATTTGCTCACGTTAGAAACCTTCGGGTTTAACGAATGATGGGAACAGATTTTATTGTATGCATCACCACAATCCATTGGCGCAATCAGAAATCAAGATTCTAAATAAGATAGCACCAATCTTGGAGCCATGAGTGTCGGACAAGGTCTTGTGAGTATCTGAATGATTGTTGCATAAAAGTCAGCTGACTGCACCTCCGTCAAAGAACTCAGTGGTGGTGATGCCTTTCTCAAACAAAAGTGAATGCTGGTTTAAGCGTTTTCAGCCCTCAACAGACCAACCGCATTTATTAGCCACTGCTGACTCACTTACAGTGTCCATGTCTAATAATTAATGCGGTGCAACTCTGCATCGCTCCCCAAGTTTACAAATAAACAACTTGACTAGAATACGGAGTCAAGTCTCAACGTCGACTCTCAATTCCAAAATAAATTTTCCTTTAAGTTTAGCATTTCTTGAGAACAACGGTGGTTGAATGTCTTTTTTACTTTGTTGGCTTAGTTCACCGGGTTTGCATGATCATGGGCATTTAAATCGGCTAACATTCGAAAAGATAAAGTGAACCTTAAAACAGTCATAAATCGTAAAACCGAATATGCGAATGCTCATCAAAGTCTCTCTAAAGTGATTTGATGCTTTCCACAAGCTTTAAAAATCAGAGTGCCAAAAAACTACCGCACATTGGGTCAGGGTAAATTAGAAGCTGGATCAAACGGGAGCACCGCGGTGATGTACTTTGAAGGCCAAAACAAAATGCCTCCTTGAAATGCAAAGGGAAACCTTTGATTTTGGACGCAAAAAATAATTTACGTTCTCATCAAATCCGTTTACTTTAAGCTTAAGCGACTTCTCTATCAACAACAAATAAGAGAAAACAGAGCAAATGCGAGTTATAACCTGCGCCTCGTTTGATTTCTAATGTAGTTTAAGGGATTTAGAGAAAATAACGATTACCAGGTCCCACTAATGATGCTGTGTGGCACAGTCAACCAAAGTGGTACTAACTATGGTAATCAATTTGACGGACTTTAATGGCTCTACATAGTTCCAGCAGGTGGGCGATAACGCCTGTGGAGTGAATGAACAACTACTCACGAAGTGGAGCGATTCTCCCGCAACCTTTATGAATCTTGGGCTTTCAATGTCATCGTGGAAACAGAGTACACAAAACTACTGTTCAAGGTAGTCTAACTTCTTTTATAATAGCTAGTTTTGCATTTTTCCTTTGCACTATGAACACAACAACTGCCGTAGGGACGTGGTCCCCTAACAAGCTCGAAAAAAACTTCGTCTGTCATGAATAAGGGGACGAATTAATATCATCGCACAGAAAACGATTATGTTTTTTATGTTGATGCGCTTGACAATTTAAGAATATTTAGTTCATCATATCAATTAATGGAGCATTAAATAAGTCCTTACTGTAGCTCCCCGCGGCCTGTATAAACCCAAAAGAAGGCACCGTAACTGAGCAGAATGCATGCGTTCATCCACGAAGGTGTGCTTAGAGCTACTAAGAAGTTAAAGAACGGAGCAATAAAACGTGGAAGTGATCTGGGCTGTAGAAAGGGCAAGAAATAACCTTTAATACGGGTTGGCACAAAAATGCTGGCCTAAGCTAAAGAGGTTGAGCCGCCCCACAGCCCATATTAAGCTCCAATTTTGAGTTTGTGCAATCATGCGTTTGGATTGGGCACTCAATTGTTTCAATTGCTGCCTTTTCCAGGGAAGATATCACACTTTCAATGCGAAACAGCTACAATTTTATTTAATGGAAAAAGCAATTACTTTGTTTGATTGATCTGTAGTTTGTGGTACAACATTGATGGCTAGCTGACAGCAACCATTTCATTGACTCGCATATTGTTTGCCTACTACTTTATCCCTACCGTTAGATTAATTCGAGAAACTTCCTCTTACACGTTCTTTTACCCAGTCAAAATGATTAATTCGTTTGCAAGTCCCATCAAAAGCATCAGTTCATCACTCTTTAAAAAAATGTAGGAATGAAGTTGAGTCTGTCATAGTCACTGTGTGCTTGTCATTATTTGTACCACAACTCAAATATTTTGCGAAACTTTAAGGCCAATGAGTACTGAGCTATTTTTAGGGGGAGAGTTGGTTCTGCAAATGTGTAGAACATAGTCTCACCTTACAATGACAGTTAACAATAAGGAACTCCATTTTACTACCAGACACTTTATTCTAAGACATTCTTTACCGTTTTTTAAAGCACGGAATGAGCATTGTATTAAGGAGCCTCGAAAAGGGTGCGTGAAAAGAGGTGCCTGTGCTTAAGATGTTAAGGTCAGCAATCAACCGCAACAGATTTTAGGCCTTCGTAGGACAGTTTTGGAGGCAATCGTGTTTAAAACTCGGTGACAGCATGCAAGATTGGTCTCCTTGCAGTTAACGATGAATGCATTTTCGGTGATAGCTTGCCTTTTCTTGGTGCTTAGCTTAACTCGCTGCTTGCCAAAAACCATCATTAAACAGTTTAAATAATGTGAGATGCTTGGTAAAGCATTGAAATAAAATACACTCCTTAGGGCTAATTGCTCCTTTTGGTCATGCTAAATTTCCATCCTTTGTTGATCCAATTTAAAGATGCATTTCCGAATGGACCATTTGATGTACCGCAAGTCGCACGCTTTAAGTAATAAGGAAAGAGGATTGTTCTGGATACAAATTCGTATAGAGCAATTTTATGGGCTGTAAGAAGCCTAATAAATTAATGCTTAAAATTGAAAGCATAAACCAAAATGAGCCCCTTAGGTTTTGCCGAATATACAATAATTGCAGCAAGTTCTCCAGTCTTTTAAGATTTCGAATACCTCCAAACTCGTTTCGGGTAATATTAGTGTCCATAACACTTTTTTGGCAGTTTCGAAAAAAGCCACGCCTTGCAAACACAGACCCTTATCTGATAAGTTCCATTTGCTTTAATAGGTGATGCCACACAAAATTAGTAGGACCTCTAAATGATGCGCAGTCACAGGAATATCACTTTGAGCTGGCTCTGTTAAAAACATTTTGGTTAGATATGATCCTAGTTAGAAAAAGGGTATTTCTGAGGCAACTTTTGTCTTCATTGTGCATTATAAACACTACATAGACTTTCGGAAAGAGGTTATCATCTGAATTTTTTATCCCACCCAAGCCCATTAATAAACCAATTCTAAGTTTGGTCCAATCGGATTGCTGTCTCTCCGCCATTGGCCATCCCTAGACTTTCCATATTTGCACATCATAGATGCACTGAGATAAGCTGCTCGTATTAGCGTTTTCCCAGGCCAATTGCAGGAATCCAGGGAAAACCTAAATGAATATTTGCTAAAACTCCCTTAAAGATGTCATATTTACAGCAATGGACTACAAAAGAAGAATCAAACTCCCTCAAACGCAAAGAAATAGGTACATCTCTTGCTGTTGATATACTTCGGGGACGCAGTTCCGGCCAGACGCATTACACTATCGGCTGTTTGACAGAACCGACAAGCGTTGAATCGAGGAAATACTTAAACATTTTTTCTCTGGCCCCAATTCATTCTAAAGGAGCTGTTTTTGAGGATAGCATCGGAAGCAGAACTGCCTTAGAGCCGTTAATTCCGAAAAATAGCAGTCCGATTCGATCGAGACTTCCATCTCCTCCATTATCATCTTCACAAACTGGGTGCGGGCCCCTTTCTGCTGTTAATGAGGATATATTTCCGTCGCACAGTTATCAGCGACGTCCAAGTAATATGGGCTGGAATGGAGCAAGAGGCGTTGATAACTGGCGATTTGAAGGTGGCACGCTTTACGAAAATCCCATCAATTGCCTTCTAAATAGCGGCACATCACTGACAGCTGCGGTGAAAAAAACTAAGGAGACGTCAAATAAGAATGAATCCATGAGCAGTGTAATGGATCCGAACTACAAAGACGTTAGTTACTACATTTAGCACTTTTTTTGAGAATTGCTATGGGACCAAACTTCTCTTAATTTGCTTGTGTACCTAACTAAGGTGTTGTTTCTTTGGTCATTTCATTTGCCTAGGCAACATTACGGTAAATTGCAAAACAAGGCACATGAAAATTAAGTTATTTATTTGTCTTCAATCACTTTTAGCGAAAAACATGCCGAAACGAGAACCAAGCACAGTTCTTGTTGCTGACTGTCAATGAATTATTTACGGTGATTTTATTACCGTCTTCATCTGAATGTTATGACCGGATCATGTCGAATTAAGAATCTTTAATTAAGTCTAACATTACAGAGAGAAAGGCGAATAATAGGTAAAAGAAAGGCATGTAGTGTTTGCAAGTTGATAAGGGGGTTAAGTAAAAGCTGGCGAACGAGCAGATTCTCCTTCTGTTGAGCATAATCAAAGCGCAGTTTTTGTGCTCCGGTTCATGTGAAGCCTGCCGTTTACTTAGCAGTGCAAGGTCATCAGACTGACTTGGACTTTGACATGTCTTTGTCCGAACACCAAAAGGCGAGCAGTTGTTCCTAACTTAGTTCATAGTTTCGAGTGAGAGGTAATCATATTTTCGTAAAGTCACTTGACTACATAGTGGAGCACTAATTATGCAAACCTCAAGTGGCTAAATTTCTGAAGGCTTTTATGCAGGATCGAACCGACCTCAGGGACTGTAAAATAAGCTTAGTACCGAACTGCTTTTTAATAGCTCAGTTAATAAAAATGGGTACACAGGTCAAAGGGATTAGTCTCCTTGTACCATATTTTCGGATTGGCAATCGAATATTCTGAACTACTCGTGTGCATCAATAGAGCATCGCGATTTTACTTATTTCGGGATCCACTTTACGAAATTATTTTTTGACGATTGGCGAAATACTCGAAATAGAGGTGACAGGTTTGAACCAGAGCAAAGTAAAATTCGTATGTGAAGGCAAGTCATAGCTTAGTGGGGAGTGCAATCGAATCCTACCTTTTGGAAAGTTAATGTAACTGTAAAACTCCTTGCAAAAAGCTTTCCATAAATTCAAACACTTTAAAAGGCTTCTTGCATGCATTCTTTTATGCTCTCATTGGAAAATGTGATACTTGCAAGATTATTGGCCCACTTTGTTTGACTTAGAAAAACTATTTGGTAGGGCACTTAAGGAAGCCATTTATTCCATGTGGAAGTTGCGTGCCGAAGGCTTTTCCATATTTTATGCAAACCCGTTTCATATGAAACCGATGCTGTAAAGGCATCAGTTCCCAAGCATTTGAACCGGAACACAGAGTAAGCAGAGGAGGATGCCACTTCCGCTCAAGGTTTATTTTCATGCACAAAATAGCATCTTTTTCATGGAAGTATACATGAATTTTGCAGTTTAAGTTAGAGCCGATGAGACCTTGCCAAACTTGCAACGAATTGACTTGGATTTGCTAGAAAATGAGCTTAATTAAATCTGACACCAACTGCACTCGTCAGTAGTTGCTTTACTTCCATTTTAAGGCAACAAATAATTTAATCCCTTTTGGAAGACCCTCGTTAACAGACTTTGCATGTTCCACTGCTGCTATTTTAGGCAACTGTGTTCCAATTTGTGATTGCATTGTGAATTTTCTAAAATGCTTAGTTATGCACCACTTTCTCCAGAACTATGAAAAAGCCTCGGCTTCACTAGCGGCCCAACCAACGAGGGCGTACATGTCGGCTGATGAAGAGCCGTATAATTCTCATCATCGCCACCGGCACTACCCACCTAACAAAACATTAAGTTTGAAACCACACCGTCAGCGTTCACCATGGAAAAGCTTTGTGAAGGAGTCCACAATTCCTGACCTACCTGTCGATCCTCTGAAAACTCCTACTAAACCCAGTGGTCTTCGATGCTCCAGTGGAGTGAAGATAGTATCACCGAATCACCGTCGTATTTACCTGGAAAAATCGGTCACATGGAAGGATGACAAGCACCAAACTCATCACCAGCAGCATCAGCAGACGGCTGAAAAGGAGGCAGAACCTTCACTTGACTTGCAGGTTTCGCAAATGGATGAGTTGGTATCGGTGTTATCGGATCTCTGTGAGGCTCTGGAACACTCCTCCATTCTTATGCCTTTGTTGAAACGGGAGACATCGCCGGAAAACTGGACAACAACCGCTGCGCTAGCACCCTCAAGGGCTGCAGACGCTAGGCGAAGAAGTGTCGAGATTGGACGCGAATTGAAACAACTTGCTATCCGCGCTGAAAAGGTATGGAGTTTCATTGAGTTCAAAAGAACTATATTGACAGTAATTGAAATAAGAGCCTTTGTACCCTTCAATTAGACTTTACTAACGCTACTGTTAAGCTGATAAACGAAGTCATGGAAATGCTTTTAAGGCAAATCTAGAAAGCATACTTTTCTGCGTGAAACAACACCTGACACGACAGCAAGCCATCCGCAACAGAGTAGGCTCAAGATTAACCCAAAGTTATGGTGAAATATTTTGCCATGTAGGGTTGTGAAAGAGTTTGAATTGAGCTAGTCGTTTGGTCGGTATTTCTCAATTAACAATTGCAACAAACTCACTTCTAAGTATAGACAAAACGTTTTCCTCAAAACAAATTGTCACCTTTTTGGTTTCGCACACAATGTAAGCGCAAACTTAGCCTTAGTGGATGCGAGACGAAAAACCAGGAAATGTAGTTTACTTTCTCCTCCATGGGTTGAGCAATGAATTGACTGGGAAAGAAAGGTTTTTTACTTAAGGAAAGCTATTCCTCAGGTGTAATGCTACTAATTTTAACCTACCAACTATCCTGGACGCTTAAAGTTTGCCGTGTTAAACTGAAGTTTGGGTGTAATTTCTTTAGAAATGGAAAAGGGCACCCCATTAGGCTTGGCTCAACTGCGTGAACAGCAGTAAAGTAAGGCTATGCATTTAAGGGAATTTTAACTAATCCAAAATATCCTCCTTCCTTAAAGCCATGTTGCTTTTGACCTGCAACTCTAGGTGAAATGTGTCAGTGGATCTAAAATCGCTTCTCTTGTAGTCCAGTTCTCGGGGGAACAAATTACAAAAATCCTCATGGCTTTACTGCCACTACGCATTGTTTATAAATCTTCTAAATTAATGGACACAATTGAGTAGCTTTCAACCGCCTTTGAAAGTCAAACAATTGAGTGCTCATTGCCATAACGCTTCAACGATCGACCACCTAGGTGTTGACTAATTTTTAGCATAATCTTCTCAAGTATCTATGATTACTAAACACAGTTTTCATTTCCTTCCAAAGGTTGTTGTAGAAGTGCGAGTAGTTTTCCTAAAAATAGGAGAAATTGACACTCTAAAAGAATTCTACCAGGCAGATGCCTTCTTGCAGGCCAAATGGCACGAGCCGCGGTTGGATGGAAAACTACCAGAGGTAAGGTTCTAATCTTCCCTAAACCGTCCCCATAAAACTAAAATTGAAGTGCAGTGCTTCCGTTTACTTAGCATGGCCACGCCACTAGTGGTCAATCTTTTACTCTAGACATCGTTTGACTTGATAAGTAGCTTTTCCATGAAACCGTGAACTCACTATATTTCATCTCAAACACTTTCCAGCAGCTATCTTAGTCTGCGCAAAACCTATTAAGGCGTACTTCCCGAAGTCATTGGTCTTTGAACATGTATTTACGATGGTGCATGCAACGCCTTTACGGTTTGCTTAACGCTCCGCTACATACACGGACGTTTAAGTCTCTGCATATTGTACTTCCGTCCGATGACGGCCTCTTACTCCTTTCTTACGACCCCCGAAAACACTCGAGAGGCTGCATCAAGCTATTCTAGGGATCTGTTAAGGCCAGTAGTGATTTGCGTTATCTTGAGAAATTATTACCAACAGATAGCTTTAAGTACTTTTTGCATCAGAACATTTGAAAACCCCATGAATAAGAAATGTAGCATCACGTTTGCCACAAGAAAAGGTCACTTGTCAAAGAGTGTGAATTTGACGCTGGGAAGCACTGCATCCTGTTTGCATGGAGCGCTTTCTTTAGCCCCCGACATTGCCCCACAACGACTTTAAACGGAGACGCGAACGTGGTGCTGCTCGCTTCAGAGGCCTCAAATGTTCTCCCAGAGCCTATCAAACTTATTTTTATGAAATTTAGAGTATCCACTTTCCCTAAAGTGAAATACTAAACGAGTGAATTCTGAACTAGGCATTGTACTTTGCGTGTGAAAACACATAGCCTTGGTCAGTGACATTTCGGAGGCGAATGTACCAAAGTACAACAAATGTCACAAGCACTCTCGCAGATACACAAATCTCCACCCTATCTAAATAATTATCGGAAGTAGATAGGCCGGTCCAACGGTTGTTACAGTAGGCTCTCCATTATTCCAGCAAATTACATCCGGTCAGCGAGAGGCTTGTTTTTGTTTTCTGTTGCTATATTAAAGCCCATTACCTTCTTTACACATTACGCTTTGTAGTTCTTCCAAGTTTCATTACTACGTACGTGACAATGCTTTGATCGCCTGATTTCATTTAGAGGATGGAGTTCCCTAATATGTTTAGGGGCACTAAGCTTGGACGGAGAAAATGAGAGGATGTGGTTATCTTTGTTAGTTTAAACAGGCTCTTTCAACTCACTACAACCGTGCATGTTCTGCATAAATGAAAATTAAATTTAATTTATCAAAAGCAGTAAATCTTCCTTTAACACAATGAATTACCATTGACCACTTGGTGAGGAGCAGACACCTTTTCACTTGTTCATGACGTTTCAAAATTGCTTTCCATTCTTAGCGACCTCTCTCAACCTTTTGCGGCATCCTGAGATGCAGATGGAAAGTAAATGTAGGCTGATGACTCTCGAATCACCAGCATGTTACCACATTTATTAAAAAAAGTGATTTGTTCCGCAAATTCATCAAACCTGCCTTCTCGAATTTATTTTTACTCCTTTGTGTCATTACATTTATTACTAAGACTGAGTCATTTGCTAAGGATAAAACTTGAAGATGAAGCTTGACAGCTGGCTTAACGTCTCCCCTACTGCAGGGTATTAATGGCACTTTTGCATGCCACTTTAAAGACGACTATCTCTGAAGTCCGCTTTTTGGGCTCTTCACCGAGCATGCGGAACTGAAATTATCGGCTCTTCTAGAGCTGAACATAATTATTTACGACAAAACGTATGTTCTCTTTGATAGCCCTAATTTTAAGTGTCAGGAAAAGGAGTGACTGTTTCAGAATTTCCAATTTATTAGCTGTTTATGCCACCTTAACTTGCAATGCTTCTGGTAGTGCATAAATTTTTCTTTTTAAACCTGTTCCATCACCATAAGTTTAGCTATTCATTTTTTCCGACTAATAATAATTTAGTTACCATTTTGAATTCCATAAAAACTCTCACTCTGAACTCCAAATTTACAGTGTCCCTTTGTTAGCTTTTTACGATTTGAAAACACTTTTGTCATGAGAGTGCGGCAACTCGGTACTTTTGAGTCTCCTGCTGGTGTTTATTCAGTCGATTGGGCTATGGTTTGTTTTTTTCAGGAGTTAGGAACGGTTGATTTAGAGAGGTATTGGAATCCACTGTGCTATATTGACAACATTCTTTCCGAAACGAAGGAGGTTCAGTGGCTCTCCACATCGATTGGACAAAACGGGGAGGTTTACATTGTTGAACGACGTCGCATAAAAGGTGTCTTTTTGGAGACGCTTGAACTTAATGATTTTCCACTTGATGTTCAAGTAAGTATCCATGCTCTGCCTCTACACCTCAAATTATGGATCTGTTCGGGGTAAGTGACCGAACAAGTTTTCGAAGTGTCAACGTTAAATCCGTAAAATGCAAACAGCAAAGCAAAACAAAGTGCCCAAGATATCAATTTCCTGCCTCTTTTTACGTTAATATTATCCACATCTGTTTGCTTTTGTTTTACGCTCTCACTCGAGAGGGCACATTACCTTAACCTGGTTCCACCGCGCCTGAACGGAAGAAGTTAGACAAAGTGGAACTGCTTATAGCCTTCCTAATGTAGCTGTCATGATAATAAGTAGATGTGTGGTAGCGAGGACCAAAGAAGCGATTCATTATATATTGTTGCTTCCCACTCTTACTTATTTACTCTGACGATATGTTCAGACAGTTATCATGGCAACGATCCTTATTTGCCCGTTTTTTTATGAAATGGAGGTGTGCGTTTAGTGCCTTTAAATAAATGTAATTGCGTCACTGCCAGGTATTACTCCCCAAACTTGCTTTCTACAGGCAAAATATATCTCCATCAAAGAGTGCTAATTATCTTGTTTTTCGAAAGCCACTTGGCTTATTTTTCTCTACTGTTCGCACCGAATACAAAGTGTAATACAACTAAAGCTAAAATGCTAATTTCTCAGTATTCATACCGAGTACAATTTTTTGAGATAAAGTACATCCTGCGAGGTGAGATTTTGCGGTTAGCCCAGACTTTTGCGGTCCCAGCAAAGGGAGACTTTTTCGTGCCGTGCATTATTTGCAGCCACTATCCGAGGAGGTTCGGACGCAAACCAATCCTATCACCGTCGTGTTTTATTGGTTGATTAAATGTTGCCATTGCTAGTCTGAAGGCGTAATAATACGCTTGGGGTTTTAAACGGCCTAATGTACATGGCTTCGTTATTTAGAGAAGAAGTTACTATATAGATGGGCATTTTCAGTGCGCATTGCATGCAAAGGTTTAAACATGTCCCAAATTTTATTCATTTTTAATCTTGGTACAAATGAAGCTTGTATTTTAGGGTTGTAAAATTATAGAACCTTTTTAAAGAGGAATAGTTTGGTGGTTGCAAAAGAACCTACCATTAAACTGCGTACCTTATAATTATCCTGATCTTAGAACCGTTTTTACGGATGCTTGCAAATCAGATACAAGTGATGGAGGGGTGCCTCACTTTCAAATTTCTTCACTCTTTTATAATTAATTTATTTAATTTGAATAATGTAAGATGAGTTTGTAGCGTCCTAAGACTTTCTGGCCGGTATAAGAAGTCAGTACGTGCAGCTGGATACGTGTATTCCGAAGACGACAGGGCAAATGGCCCTAAGTGTGGCCCGAAGGCCAGCCCACGAGTACAAGGGCCAGGCAAATCTTCAATTGACCGCCAAACGTCATGTGGTCACATAAACAAAGTATTGCAGTATTTACATTTCCAAATACTTTTTTCATGGTGGACAACTTTGAGGGCATCATTTTGTTTCGACAATTCATACGACTCAACCACGTCAGTTTTATCTATTGTTTAGGATCTTACAATTACAGTCACAACTGAGAGACCTGACACAGAGGTGGACTTGATTCCTGATCACAACGAAATGTCAGCCATTAACAAGCAAACATTTGTTGACCAGCAGGTAAACTTGAGCGTCTTTTCCGCTTTCTATCCAAAGCCCTTTAAATTACTGTATTCGAGGTGGTAGTTATTAACATAAAAATGAAAATTACTGCATTTGATAGCACGTCCCAGTTTGCGTATGTATTTGAGGCCTTAGTTTTACGAAACGTGTGCACATATACGCTTGAGGTCTGTGCTAGAAGCCCGAGCTTTTAAGAACTTTGTCTACTCCGAATTAAAATGATTGCTCAATTTGCATTTCAAACTCTTTTTGACTTAATTTGTGTACCCGGGGGTGGGTGGTGAAATCTAGTTTTGAAAATTGTTTCCTCTGTAATGACGACAATATTCCATTTTTGTTGCAAAAATATCAAAAGACAAACTACCGCAACTATTGCCCACCAGCATTGTAGGATAGGAAGCAGTACACAAACTTGGTTGAAATTTTGGACTGAAATGAAGTGTGCGAAAATTTTGTCCATAAAGCCTGTGGTCAGTAGAAAACTCCTCTGCATTACATGGAGAAGCGTACTCGAACCATTATTTAAATTAGTAAAGAAAGAATGAATAGAATTTAAAATCAAGATAGTATAATTGCGCTTGACCTAGACTTTGATATGTTGCTAATTGTGTAGAGGTCAGTGATTGTTCCTCCGAAAGGAGAAGGGAATAATTTTTTGTAACCAATGCAGGAGTGGAAGTTGCACGAGCATGTCGAGATTACGAAACGTGTCATACGGCAGGAGTACTCTCGATCTATGAAGAGTCATCCTTGTCTCTCTGTCACCTGCCGAGCAGCACGCAGACCGGGCTATTTCTACTGGAATGTCTTTCTTATCATGGTAGGCATGCTACATTCACATGATCGGGGCTGACTACCCTACCGTTACTTAGCCCGCTGATCGTTTGCCATTTTCGACAATGTTTCGTGTGATTTTAAAGCCTAGGTCATCTTATTTTGCTGCACTCAAAATTCTCATCTAAATTAAGTCTTGGACTATTAACTGGGGTTGAGCATTAGTGTGAGTGCTTGAAAAGAGCAAAATTGCTTTATAGCCATGTCATTTATGGTGTTTTTTAATACATTTCTTTTCGGATTCGGATCGAAGCGAACTCAATGGTCTAATATTTGCTTCTTCAAATGCTTAATGATGCAATAGTTTTGAGCATTATCATCATATTATTCAGCACCTAATATTCGCCTAACTCCACTGATTATAGCTACGCTATATTTAACATTTTACATAAGTTCGTATGTAGAAAGCGTTGGTTTACTTAGAATACTTGAATTTTACTCACTTATATTTCAACCTTTGCCGTCTCACTGACGTAATACTTTGATCCGTAAGCTGTTGAATGGCCGGTGCCATATGTCGCAACCAAGCTAACTTGGCCGACCCATGTGTACTTACGCCATAAGAGTTTTTGTGGTAGTTGCGCCTTTCAGAGCTTAACTTTTGGTCTTTCCTGCTATTTAAAGGTCGGTTGAGGATATGCTTTATAAAGCTCCCAAATAAGAGGTTCCCTGGCGGTTTTCTAAGGAGACACTGTCATGTACAAGCACTGTTTCTACAAGCATATCATTTACTTTTCAATTCGTGTGTGTCCGTTGGAACAACAAATGCTGATGTGATGTACTAGATTCCTGTGTTTTGTAGTTCATGATCTCGGGTTTATCCTTCGCAACATTTGCCGTGTCACCAGATAAAGCCGAACTGCGTCTTCGTCTTTCCTTCACTCTCATACTCACCTCAGTCACATTTAAATACGTCATCACTCAGAGTCTACCACGAATTTCCTATCTCACCTACATGGTATGTCGTGGAGTTTTGTTCACTAGCACCGTGTTTGCATGCAATTTTAGCAAAATTTGTTATTATTATTGTTATTTATACATGATACTTTCTTGTTCATTCATATGAATACTTGCGACATTCGAGTTACCATTAATAGTGGGCGAATTCCAGACATACATGGTGCTCCAAATCAAAATTCGTTTCATAGCACTAAAATGGAAATGAAGTAACTATGACTTAAGCAATGCTACTTTGTAATTGCTGGTTTCACAAAGATGTGCTACGGCTTGAAAGTGGGTTTGAGCTCGAGAAGTCCAATTTCAAAAAACCCACCCCAACGGTTGCTTCACCACACCAATGTCGAAGTTGGAAGTAGCGTAAAATCATTTTGGGTAATAGGACCCCTTGGAAGCCTTTACTCCTACTAATCCCTTTAATAGCCTCATCTAATCCGACGACGGTGAAGTATAGCTAATCGTGTACACTGTCATTTAAGATGAAATTTAGATAAGGTTTTTCTACATTCTTTCCAAATAATCAACCCCTTTAATCTTTTGTCTTCTTGTACGGGTAACCTCGCCTTGCCAAGATCGGGAATGTTGACGATGTTTGTGTGTTAAAATGAAACTTTGAAACACTGTATTATCCCCTTGCCCTAAAAAGATAGTAACATAGAACTATGGAGATTCGCGCAACTCTACACACTTTAGTCCACATGAAAGCGTTCGATGCAAACTTCTGACCTTTTCCACTCATCCACTTGAGGGATTTCAGTTGGTTCCCGATGCGTAAAGCAATTATATTTATTACCGATGAGATAAGTTAACCCGAAACGACCCCAATGCCCTATAATTCCTGGAAATGCCAAATATATGTTATTCGAGGTTTCTGCAAGTTTTAAGTTTGTGCGCTAAAATGGCATTGGACAAGGATGGGCGTCCTTCAAAACATCAACAAGTCCCTCACAAATGCGACAATACATGCATATTTTACATCGGAATTACAGCATAGCTGATTACATCCATTCAATTGTCAGCAATAACACTTGACAAAACAGGGTTACACCAAAGGCAATGATAACAGGCATAGTCTGCATACCTTTTCATTTCATTTCCATAGCATTAATCCACAAATAGTCATTCAATCCTCATTGGTAGTTTACTACCAGTGGTGCTTTCACTCTTAAAATGCCAACATGGGAGCATTCTTGTGCTTTTTTCAGGCATGAAGGTAATAAATAAAAGGGATATATTTCACATCTGGGCTTTCATTTTACCCTTGAAAACACGCCTTCAGTGTCTATGTGGGCGCAAGAAAAAAAGAGTTCAAGAATTCGCAGAGTTCTTGCTTCTTCAAAAGCTTTACTACATTTCTATTGCGCCCGCATTTTATTCCTACAATTGTTCCCTCACAAAAATGTTAACTTCTCTGAAATACTAACGCCGCATGTGAGGTTATGAATAGCGGTTTTGTCCAATCTAAGCTCATACATCCTTTCCATGGGGTCACATTATGTGAATGAAGCTAAACCAGACAAACTAAGCGGTAATGGCAGGCAAAATTACGCAACAAACAAAACATTAAGCGAATTGGTTTTTGCAAGAGATGTGAAGTAAACCAGGCGCAACGGTCCATATAAATCTCTTTATAAAAAGCATTTCCAAATGCCTAAATCTTCTTTTCCTTAGGACAAGTATGTACTGATGTCGCTGGCAATACTCTGTGTTATCAGCATCTGGCATGCAGTCATCGCAATCCTCCCCATAAACGTGATGTCACCGTTGGACGATATAGCACTCCTGAACTCCTCGGCAGCCACAATCAATGTGTCTTCCACGAATCCTAATTTACTTTATCAAACCCTCGCTGCAGCTCATCCGTCCGCATCTTCCGAACCCCACAAAGCGGTTCCTCAATCTGTCCTTCTTGCTATTTCGAAAACACAGCGACAGCGCCGAATCTGGCAACCTCTCACCAATGTTGAAGCGGGTGATTTTTCATCCAGTATAATGTTACACTACTTGAAGTAGATGCTTACGCTAGCTGATCATCCCTACACTCCTTGAAATGCAATTTGACTGGTCTGGCGAAGACATTACTATTTTCATCCTCACGACTATTCTATTTTTAGACCCTCTAGAAGCTAATCAACGTAATCAACTTTCTTTTCATTTCTGTCTGCATTCATATCCGCATTCATATCTACAGTACTGTATGGTAAGATGGCTTTAAAAAGACCAGGAAATCCTACCTTTGGTACTTCAAGTTCAGAGAACTTTTCCGACTTCATGTAGAAGGAAGGCACAAAATCTGAAGATAATTTACGAGGGAATAAAACTTGACTTCCGATTTTTCATGCGTGAACTACTGCATATCACCTTTCAAATCTCTTTTCACTCAATAAATACTCACCAGATTTTAGTATCACCCATTTGCCAGTAACGAACAAACTGGAAATTTAATTAGAAATAATTTGTCAGTCTAGTGGCTAATTTTCCTGCTTATTTTTGTTAAGTGTAAACACAAGCGAAACAGTTTTGTTCACAACCAAAGTTCCGATCTGCTAACTGCCTATTTTTATCGCATCCTTCAGGACTCTAGAAGAGAAATGTACATCCGAAACTACTATCACCATATCTGAATACATCAGTTGGTCATTAAAGATCCTGTTGGTTATTTCTCACGAATCCTTTTGGCATTGAACAAGTCTTTGAGTTTTTATTCGCGCACTAATTAGCAAATGATATAGTCTTACTAGCCTTTTAAAATGAAATTTATTAGGAATTCTGTAGAAAGTTTAATGTGGACTTAGCTGCACCCAGTTGAAGTTAGTAGTGTGCAGCGGTTACTGGGGTTAATTGAGGTGCAGCAGGTCCCTCGTTAATTTGCTCATTTGCATGAATGTGTTCCATAAGCACGCTATCCTGCCAATGAAGGACCGGTCATGTGACACCAAAAACTTCCTTAGCCCCGTAAATGAATAGGTGCCTCGATCTGACGGCGGATCGAATTTCTAGCTTCATTTAATGCTGTTAGGCTAACTCTAGAAGGCCTTAAGATTTATGCTCCGAGTACTTTGGTAGCATGCTAGCAAATTCACATGTATTCGGTCAGTCCTCCATCTAGATGGCCAGTGGTTTCGTTGGATAAGTGACCGGACTAAAGAGTCGTTGGTTTTTTGCCAAAATTAGTGTATCGTATCTTCCTCTCGATCCAGCAGTTTTGCTTCAACCCCATAACCCGATCCCCATTCATCATCCTGTGGGACAACACTTTGGTTTCGAGTGTTATGCAGTCCTGTAACAATGTCTTTTGCCCAAGGAAAGTGTTGCCCCACTTATTCTTGCATCAGATAAGTTAGTACTTCTAAGCTAGGGCATAGTCATACAGACAAGTCGCTTAACTTTTAATTTTGTGCTTTCCAATTTCAGGGAAAATTAAGGTGTAAATTTGTTCAGTCTTGAGGCAGCCTGTCTTATGCCAGTTTTTAATGACTGCCAGGACTACTGTGCATAGCAGTTTATTATCCTCCAGCGCGGCCCATTTTCGTTAAAATATTCGTCCTTTGTTGAACTCCTTGCTGTAGACGCTAGTCATTCCAAAAATCCTTGCTTCGACGGCCCATCAATTCCTTTCGTGGGAGCCGAATCGCCTCCTTCATCTTCAAAAAATGGTGTTTCTCTTGGTGATTTTACACTGAGCAATGAAGCAGTGTCCCTCTACTTCCTCGCCCTCCTCCGTGCCTACATGGAGGTACAGGACCGAGTGGAGTTGAGTCGGTTCCCTGACGCCCAGCAAATTGAGGAGCAGCGAAGACTTGAAGTGATGAAGCATCTTGAACAGAATGTTTTCATCTCTTTCGCCGTACTCTACGTCGTCGTGCACTGCATCTTCATTTTCATCCTCTACTTTGATGTATGTACAATTTTAAACTAAACGGAAAAGCGAAAGTCATTTCTGTCCCAAAAACACCGATAGCGGTGCTTTTTCTAGTCAAAAATAATTGTCTGCCTCTTCATGCTCTCTGACAGTTTTTTTGCGATTTTGAAGGATAATCAAATTCTCATTTTTCCTCATCCAAGAGGATAAAAATAGCTGCCCATGCTTTATTTTATTAACGACATCATTAGATGCCTTCGATTTTGCCCGTCAATTGTTTTTTTAAGATTAAGTTGTTATTTGCACATCCCTTTTAACTCTATGTTGCGAATGGCGAGACCAAAACCCTTTTAAGAATGAAAACTGCTATTCGTGTCTCCTTGCTATGCTTTATTTTTGTTGGAGACTTCTTTTCCTGATCGCAATGTTAGTATCAACGTCTCATGTTTAAGGATCATTTTAATTTCTCCCCTTGGGTAGGATGGCCTTTGGTCTTTTGAAGAATCGAGCAAAGAACCTATGAAAAGTTTCTCTACCTCATTAAAATACATTGTAGCTATCATTTTGCCTTTGATTTTTTCAAGGCAAAAACCCTTTATTTAGCCGCCTCAGCTATCATACTGTCGAAGAGATCAGGAAAGTGGGCATGGGTAATCACAATCTACGCGTCTGTTGCTAAAACGTTCTTCAATCATCTTCCTGTTCATGATATGAAAGTCATGCACAAAGAGGAAGCGGTAATACGAAGTTTCACACTTAACATTTCAAAAGGCAGTAAGCATCCTTTGTAATTAAACAGGGATTGGGGACATTTATGCAGCACGTCCATTTGTTCTAGACTTAACTGTTTTCTGAAATTTGAACAGGAGAATGAATAACTTTTGGATTCCCTTTATAACACGTTAAACTATGCTTGGAACATTATGGAGGGAAATTGTACATTACCGAGAGCTTACCAGCTTCAGTGGATGAAGCAGAAGAGTGAAAGATGCTGTCAATAACTGATAAAGCGGCATGTCATTCTTTTGTTTTAGCTTCACTATGTACCGAAAAACGGCGTTCCATAATTGAATCTTCTCAAGGCGCTTAGTTTTGGTTTGTTCCAATGCCAGCGGGTGGGGCCAAAAGCAGGAGAAAATAATGCAGAACACAGCTCAAAAACTATGAATCATCCTACGAAGGTCATAGATCTAATACCTAGACGACAGCACTTTTGTCTTTATGATCGCCTTTGACAGTCAGCACATTGGTTGATAACAAACGTAAAACGTTACGGTGTTCACTGACTTTGGCTTATAAACAAGTACTATCAGCTTGGAATGTTAGAATAAGCACCTCAAAAAAGTTTGAACAATTTATAAAAAGTTTTTCCACAAGTCACAGGTATCTCTCGAACATATTTAATTAAATAAAGTAGTGAGGTAAGCATGCTTTATTTATCCCATGGGTAGGGACAATGAACAATAAATGGACGAATACTGAAGTCATTCGGTCTACCAAGTTAGTTACACGCTGCTCATAGGTGGGTTTAGGACATTAGACGGTATTAGCAAAACATTTCTGTGCACAATTAAACACAGAATCAGTAAACACTAGGTGAGTTCCGGACCGATAATGTATGAAGTGGATCTCGCTATGCCCGAATTTGAACCATTTCTACCTGCCTTTGAAGGGCATGTGCCTCGCATTCCCACTGAGTGACTTAATTCCAACTCTGTGTCATAACAATTTCCCCTGGTTCCAGAATACCGCCGACAGGATTCGTTTTTATTAATCCCTCCTTCATTGTTTAGAAGTTGCTAACATTTTGAATCGACACTGTCCTTCGTCCACTTAAATGCCTCCCTTCAGCTTCTGTTCAATCCCTCTGTTGCATCATTTTAGGCTAGCAAGAGGAGAAGAGAAATGTGCAAAAAGGATAAGGAATATCGAGTGAGTGATGCAAAAGTAGTCATAGTTTCTTGCATTAGGGCAGAAATGTTTGCTTAACTGACAACATTTTTAGACCAATTTATTTTCACTTGCGTGCAATTTGGAAACAGTTACGGAAGTAGACATACCACCACTTTTCCTTCCATCCAGACTTGTCGCCCACGAAATACAAGTCTGAAGTGAAGACACGATTAAGTCGATGCAATAGTCATAAGTTGGCCCGTGATGGACCACTCTCGACTAATACAACCGTCTGGGCTCCTGTCATGCATACAATATAGTTGCAAAGGCTTGCTTTGACGTGTGTGCACTCTTCTGACAACGTAGTTATTGTTCTCACATCCAGTTTACCTTGCTTGCAGTAATAAGGTTTTCCAGTACATTTTTAGACAGTTAGTTCTTGTTTTGAAAACTGGCTGTTTAATGAGCTACTAACCCTGTTTCCTCCTTTCCAATCCTTACCCTACACAATGTAATACCAAAATGCTCTCCTCTGTTCGAATCCATTGTTGTGTCACTGGATGTCGTCTGTGTCGCCACTTTTTTATAACACAACACCAGCAATTTCTGCAAAAAAATCTCCAATGGTTGGAGTGCCAAAAGGTTCGAGACAGCAAAGTAAACATAGAAACGCACGAAGATCCAATACTCACTTCAGCTGCAAACAAAGTGGCAAAATCGGCTTAAGTACGTGTAGCACAAACGAACTGAAAACAAATTTACAGTCGTTGGTGGTTATTAAAACAAATTTGTATCACAAAATTCTGTTTCAACCGAACTTTTTACTGATCAACTCAGATAGCGACATAAGGAGGAGTTAAAAATGTAGACAGAATGAGTTGCAATCTCGTCGAAGTTTCAAACTTTGGCGCAGATCTAACCGTATTTAACAAAAGAGTGTAAAAAATTTGATGGCTAGCGTCATACTAGAAGTTTGCATCTGGTTGGGAGGGCCACTTAACTCTTGACCACAGCAAGCAGTCTTGCATGTATATTGTGGTTGTTGTGACTATCCTTTGAGAAGATTTGCAGCTCATGTCCAATCTGATTTATATTTACTTTTCAGACCAAAGTTGCTGCTTCTGGCGGCAAGCCTTCAGGAGGCCGTCTCCTTTACAAGTCATACCCTTAGTTCCCTATCGTTTCCCTTCTATGCTGCTCTGTTTACCCGCTTGAATGCAAGCCGTTGTTTGAGATGGACTGAAGCTTTTGACTTGCAGTATTCACCAAAGGGGCCTTTTAACTTTATTTTATATGCTGATCTCATTGAAAATGCGATTTGTATGGTTTGGCTTGATTTTTATTTTTGGTTTTGAAGGGATAATTTTGGTTTGGCCATACGTTAGTAGAGACCCATAGGTGTCGCTCTCATGCACTTTAACTTTGTTCATAAATTATTTCCCGAAATCTCCTCTGTACTAAATAAACTTTGAGACTTCCAAATATTCTCTTAATAGCCGATTAGTCCTGGCGCTGTGTTGGAAAAATTCCACTCTCGTGTGTTAAACGTCGAAACGTTTCAATCCGCTTTTCCCATTATGTATCGTGCGCAATTCTGCGTCTTCCACCGTCTCTCTACTAAAACATTAAAGCTAAAAAGCCCTAGATTCTACTTTTTTGCAAAATGCTGCAATATTGATAAGACTGTACTGTATAAGTGTGCGCATTCATAAGTCCACTTTAGTGCTGCGAATCTGTCTCACAAAGCAAATTGAGCAGTTACTGCACTGTTCCACGACCGAATAAATAATTAGATTTAATAAAGTAAGTCGTTTTTGCCTTTGTGCTTAAACGCTCAGTAAATTTTTCTGTGCATTTGTTTTGAGGCATCGTATTGTCAGCACTAAATCGTGCGCTATTGGCTACATTTGCGACAGCTTGGCTTTGAATGCTTTCGCAGTACCTACGGGCCACACTGTGTGCGCTCTTTGATTTACATTCCACATGTCTTAGAATTGGGAATTTTAGTAGGGCTGGCAATAATTTCTACTTCAACGTTTGAGGCTGAAAACGATAGAATGCATAATACATACAGTCAGCATGCGGAAGAGAGGCTTGGGCTGCTGGCATGGTTCGGAGGCCACTCGAGGTATAAGAGTGACCACGTAGACTTTTACTAAAGCAAGAAGTAATCTCGCAATGAGCGCGTCATCTAAAATCCTTTTTGCTGTTGATCATTGCGAGGTCTATCTTTGCTGGGAGTAGTATTGAAGATGTCTTAACTTGATCGAAATCGTAAAAATAGCACAACAACGTGATCACTTAAAATCATATTGTAAACGTGGACAAAAACAACAGCCTTAAAGGTCTGACAACTTTCTCTTCCTCCCCCCAAATACTGAGATTCTAATTTGCTGTGAACTCGATACATTTTTCAACTCAGTCCTTTGATTAAGAAGCACAACTCAGTACGACAAATAATGCCTAAGTTAACCTCTGCCAAACTGTCTTGCATCCTCCAAATTAGACGTGTTTCAAGATGTCATGGTTATGGTAGACCTATTTCTAGTATTAAGCTCATTCCTTTCAAAGCCTAATGGACAACTTATTTTTCCACTAAAGGTCGACTGGCTATTAATTGTCAAGGTTGGCGCACTTTTCCCATGCTCATCAATTCTGGGATAATAAAGTCGTTTGTCCAGACTAAGTGATCCGAAAATTTTATTCGTAAACAAGTTATGTCCTAATGTAATGTGATTGCTTTTATTAATGATCGTAAAATAGATTTGCCTCATTTCCAGTTTAGGTGCCTAGGAGTGGAGAAAACGGCTCTTGGTGCTTTGGATTTTAAGTCATTCCAAAACAATAATGACTCAAATGTTGCACCTCTCTTTGACTGCTTCGTTTCAGCTATAACAGGTGGAAGAAGGGTGACTAGAATAGGGTTGTAGGAGACACTAAAACCAAAAAATATGCAACAGTCTACTTATCGAGACATTCCATTCACCTAAACTTATAATGCGCATGTTCATATAGACATCCATATATTCTTGAGAGCGATTTGACGACTGTTGTGCTTAAAGAACAGGGAGAACTGAATTTTCTGTACTAGATAGATTATCTGATCCGGAGCTGGCCAAATAATTAGCAAGATCATTTTGACGACTGCGGTTTTTTGACTTCGACTGACGACTCTCGCATTCGCCAGAACCTCCATTCAGCACTAGCAGGTTGTCATCCTTTACCGAAATCTGCTGAATCTCTGGACCTGGGTCCTTTGATCGCCTTCCTCGCTGCTTCTTACGTCTTTGACCCTCAGAACCTTCTAGACCATCTTTCTGTTTCACCCCTTCCGATAGCACCACACTTGAATCTGATCTTCTATGACCAGTGAGAGATGAGAAAGTGGCCAGAACCGAGTCTCCCCTTTCAGGATGGCTCGATTTGATCAGACCTCCAAGGCTTGAGCTATCTTCACTATCTCGCCCACGAAGCCTTCTCAAATCTAATAAGCCCCGGGTTCGATCCAAGAGACGAGTTTTTAGGGAAATTCTTCTCACTGCCCCTCCTCCCGTGTCCTTGGGAGAAAATAGTTCGCTTCGGGGTCGTGTGTGCTCACTTTCAGTGTCACAGAGAGGTCTATCCACACCTCCAAGTGACGGATTTCTAGTTGTTCGACTAAAACTGTGTTCCTCACCACTACTTAGAGTTCTTCCCTTAGAATCAATTAATCCATGTCGTGACCCGCGTCTATTACTTGACGTACGATGCTCAATACTTCGTGCCCTTCGGGAGACTTCCCGTTTCCTTGAACTTTTAGTTGGTTTCTTCTGAGTTTCATCGGTTTTCTTCTCCTTGTGGTGCCTTTTGGAGGGATTAGAAACCGACTCCTTTTTATCCGCACCACCAACTCTATGGTTGTTAATATCCTGTGCATTGGCAATGTATGAATTCCCCTCAATCTCGGGCTTAAAATGGTCGGCTGTCTGAATGTTTGAGGATTGGACGGGTTTTCGTGGCAGCGTCCCTGACCTCATTCCACGTTCAGCAAACTCAGCAAAATTTTGGCTTTCCACAAAGTTGGGGTTTATTTTCACCAGGCTCCCCACCAGCTTATCGTTTTCTTCCTCTAACGCATCCATATTCACTTTGGCAGCGTGAATGTCGCGCAGAATTTTGTCCTTCATCTTCTGCTGTTCGTCATTTCTTTCATGGAATCGTGCTTCTAGTGACTTTTGAAGATCAACTTTTGACTGAAGGAAGCGCACAGACTCAGATAGAATATGGTAGATCTGTTGTGTTCTTGTGTAGATCTCTTTTAGTCGATCAGAAATATCTGAAGATTTGCGAATGAGTTCAAACTCTGGGCGATCAGACCAAAAAAAGACACGTTCTAGCAGTCCTATGTTTTCTGTCACAATAGGCATGCAGTAATTGCACACCTCCCCTAGGACGATGCTAAAATGCAATTGGAGGTAAAACAAATCTCGATAGTAGTCCAAAAGTGGCTTCACTTTGTTTCGAACCTCTTTGTGAATTTCATCAAGGGCTAGCGCAATGTTATCGATAAGATGGGATTTCGATCTTTCACCGTCACCAGCACACATATCGGAACTGGTCCTGCGTTGGATAAGCATCTGCTTGCGGGTCTGTGGGGCTCTGATCATGGCTAACTGTCGAGCTGTCAGATTACTTTCCAGTCCATCAAAACCATAGTTGACGAGTTGTTGGGCCAGAATCTCATTATGCTTTATTCGGTCCTCCAACCTACCCTCCGCCTCAAATAACTCCATTTTCAACTCTTCTAATTCATCCTCAGTAGCCTGTAGTTGTTCTTGTACAAAGTCTTTTGTTATAAGACTTTTTTGTTCATCAACAAGTCGACGATACTCCTCCAGTTGACGATAGCAAACTATGAAAGTATCCTTTGTTTGAAGAATCAACCGTAATTCCCCTTGGATCTTTGGGGGGTAGGTGGGGAGCTTATCTGTTACCGTGGGTAAATCCATTCTGTTGACTGTTAATGCAAATTACGTCAAACTATTTCTCAAAGCGACTAAGGTCGGGTTAAGACAGGGCATGTGGAATTTAAACTTTCTTTCGTCCCGTTTGGATCGATGTAGCATCGAGCAGATCAGCTGTACTGAGAAATGTGGTGCCGCTTGCACCTCTCCTTACCTCTTCTTTCAATCCCGATTAGCACAAACCCTTGCCCAATAAGGATCATACTTTGTGTCTAAAGTAAAAATTTTTGAGTTCAAATAAATCTGCAATTTCCTCTTAAATCTCATGTTAAAATGCATTCCAGCTATGCCTATACTTGTTAGTATTGTGGCTGGACAGCTGAGAAATTTACTTTCACATTGTTCTCCACATGTGAGCCTAGGGATGCCATTGTAAATGGCGTTAATAAAACCGCTCTTGAACACTAAATTTCTGTTTATCTTTAATTCGAATATCCAACTTACCAAATTATCTTGTAAAAAGCGGGTAGCTGAATGTTGGCACACCCTTCTGAGGTAGTTGCAGCGTCCAGAGACTTCATTATCGGTAGCAGGGGATATAATGCTTTAGCATAAGAGAAGAAGGAAGTAAATCAGAACTTTGATATGGTCCGAAGGCCAGCCTACTCCATCAAGGCAATACGGCCCCTTAAGTGACCTCAACCTTTGACCGGTGGTGGTTTGCAGTGCGACCTATATAACTTTGCCCTTCTGTCGATTACTAAAAAAAACATTACAAAGTGTGATCCAATCATCAAACCCTGTAGACTCACAAAAATGCATTTCAGACGATTTGCACATCCGTTTTTTTTTTGTTTTCAAGCGCTTTTAAGATATCGTTCGCCGTTATTTTGTTCTTACACCGCATTAGGTGGAAATCTGCGAACTCGTGACAGCTTTGAAAAGGCCATTTGAATGAATAGGTGGGGGCATAAATCACAGCTTCTTAACCCATAAAAATGTGCAAGCCTCCTCTCCTCTACATACTGCATTCACGATGACCTGCTTATCCTGTTAAGAAGTCAACCATTATCAACAAAAAAGCACAACGTATTCAACAGTAGAAAAGCATTGTGCTTGTGGCTAATCAAATCCTAAACCCACAAAATGTGGAACGTAGAAATTGTTTGGGTATCGGAACAAGGCGAATGCAGAGCCTGTAGCCCTCCTCTACTTCCCTTTTGGTAGGCCTCTTGTGGGTTTGGAATCTTTTAGAAAATTTATCAAGCATTCCAAGTACAGAATGGGAGCTAGGTAACGTAATAGAGAAGAGAACGATTCTCATTCCCTGCTCGAGCCGCAACGATTTGTCAGCTTCTTTAGAGCCCTTTTCGATTTGATATCCCACCCACATACTGTAAGATGCATTCATCCAACTGATGCGTATTACAGCAGACACCTGTAACTGCTATCTTTAAAGCTCGGTCCCACTAAACTTGGTTCTTGGAACTCAACCAGTGGCCTAGAACTGAGTAACACCATAATCAAAAGTAAAATAAAGGCAATGTCCATTTTTCACTTTTGAATGTACTTGAAGGCAATCAAACAGGCTATGCCTCAAAAGTGTCTAATATGACAGGTAATGACAGAATGTATAGGCAAACGCAATATACACTACTGTGTTCAAATTGTTCTTACAAAGGGCAGGCGGTGATTCAACGCTAAACCCGTGCTAGAGGAACGTGTGGATCGTCTCTGGAGTAACGGTTGGACACTTGCCTTAACCGTACTTCGAATCCCCGTGTACTCTGCAGCGGGTACCTAGTAAACCTCCTCAGAGCAAGCTTTCATTTATGAAGATGGAAGTACGAGTCTGAGGGTAAGGTGGGAGGCACAACATAGAACATCAAACGTCTTCTCAAGTATCGTATCTTTCCAAACCCACTATTCACCAAAATCTGTTAAGTTCACTGAGCGATTTCAGAAGTCGCTTCGCGATGACTATTAACTAAAATAGCACACATTCGGCATCAAAGCTGAACGGGAAAATATCTTATTTTAATTTTCGAAATTTTAATGACAATGACATGTCAGCAATATTTTCGTTGCGCCATCTCTTCTACTTACACTTTATTCACTTTTATTCTGCAAATCATTGTGATCCAAGGAACTTTAATTACGAAGTATGCATAACAGCATGAAATAAATTAATAATAACGCTAATGACGGAGCCTCATATTGTCGATACTTTCCACAATTACTAGAGCTCTTAAATAATTGATACTATGGTCCAGATGCTAAACATTATTATCTGGTCGGAGTGGACCATGTACGTTATCAAAATGACATGGAGTTGTTGGGTTATATTTATGCAAAGAACTTGTACATACCATGTAGGGTCTCAAGACTGCCCTGACGACAAAGAATCTCATAGTGATTGCGTACAATACATGCATAACTAATTGTAAATAATTATTCCCTGATATCATGCAGTACTGTGTTGGACACGCGAATAAGAAAGCTTCTACGTCAACTGATTCCAGACAGTACCACTAGACACGCACTTGCACATGGCAGCCAGCTAATCCATCTTCATCAGTGTTCTTCAGTCTTCAGCCGTACTCAAGAATGCAATCGCATCACGCTCTTACCAGTCTGGGTAGGATGTTGCTCTGCAAAAAGAGCTACTCCCATGCCTGTCACTTTCCCACATCCCAGTGTTTAGTCACTTCACCATTTATGCGGACATTTTTTTGTTAGTATCGATCGAGGACAAAGCTAGACGAATCTACGATGGTCAACTCTTGATTCTTCACTTAATGGTTTTTACGGAATTATAATTCGTGGTTGAAGACCCTGTACTGAGACATAAATATCTGCCCCCAATAAAAAATTATATTTTTAGTTCAAAAATGCACCATCTTAGTTCTTTGGCAAGTCATATAAATGCCGAAAATATACTGAAAGAGAACATTTATTGCGGGTCTACAGAAGCAATGCTTGAAGGTGAGTCGCAGTATAAGCACAACTCATAGAGACTGAATGTCGCTATTATGTGCACAAAGCTGTGGTCAGTTTGTGAAGTTCGAATGTGGAAACCTCATTCATTCGCTAAAAACATTATCGAAAGGAATGGATGTAAAAAATGGTACTGAATTAAAATATCCCAGGCTTCGCTCAACGGTTACTTTTGAGCTAAACTGAACCACTAGCGGTTATAAGTTAAAGATTTTCGTGATTATTGTTTGCACGATTATGTGAAGTAGGAAAGACGAAGAAGCATGCGTCAACATCATGACAGCAGAAGTAACCATACCTGCCAGGAACGAAATGAAATGATTCTCTGCAGCGTTCATTCTTTATGCAGATTGCAAGACCAACATTCACAAACCTTATTTTGATGATTTTGTCTTTTAAAGGAACCATAATCGGAGATGGAAAAGAGTTTTAGTTTGAAATTGGAAGCCGTATTGTGATTTGAAGATATCAGCTAGTTATCGTTAGGTAGGTCTGTGATTCGGAATCTTCATACAGCCATTAAAAGGCATAGTAAGTGAGCTAACACGTCAGATTTATGTAAAAGGTATAGAGCTGGATAATAAACTACTCACAGTCGAACTCAGATTCCGGCGGCAACATGACCAAGGTATCGTGATTAAAATATGAACAGGGCATTTTGTATACCAAAACAGCCAACTTTCACTAATGGGTAATGTGTTATATTTCTCCATGGAACCGCGCAGAAGGCTGATTGGGAAATCTACACACGCACTTATATAACAAAATTATAATTAAAGAACTAAAAAAGTAAATTCCTTAAAAGCTAAAATATTATTTAAAATAATCATATAGTCTGTCTATGCAACCAGTGGCAAACACTTAATTTTGTTTATCTTACTACTCAAAATTTATTTCCTACTTTAAACGCGAGACTTTTGTTTAATAGTTCTAAAATGATTTTGTTGGGTGCGTTACTTATTTTGCCTTGGATGCATTTATTGTCCGACTATTTTGTTTCTATGTTATGATCACTTTCAGTATTTGTGTCATATTCCCCCGATCGTCATTAACTCTAGTGTCATATATGCGAAATCCCGTGGTCTTACATTGTTTGCTACTGGATAGTTAAAGCTTTTGTTGTATTTCAGATCTATGAAAATGTGTAGCTATGCTAGCTAACGAAATTGGAACTTATTTCTGATGGAATCGAAAACTAATGAGGCGCATCTCTTTTTGTCGAGTGTTTCTGGGGTATCAAGTCCTCAAGCGAGAACTCTCTTCGCTAGTCGTCACGCTACGCACTCTCAAATTCCCGTTTCACTTCCTACCAACTACAACGTTGCTGGGGATAATTACAACAACTGTTCGGTTAGGCCAATAGTCTCTTCTTGCAAACGGAAGTTAAGTTCATCGCCTCCTGCTGCGAATGATCGAACAATGGAGGGACTTTCGAATGGCAGTCCTACCGCTCTCAAAAGTTATAATCAGCCATCACCGGCAAAGCGCGTTTGTCAAAACAACTCGCAGCCGGAGGTGCGAATGGTCGCCGCAACTGTATCGAGCATCGCGCCAAGTCAGTCTGCAACGATTGCCCTCGTGAATAATGTTCAGTCTGTACAAGCTTCTGGAGATGTTGTTTCCACTGTAGCAGCTGACCTGGCACCACCCCCACCTCTTGTGGCATCCGATTATGAACGTTCGAACTCTGGTAAAATCGAACAAGTAATTGAGCACGTGCTTGAGCTGGCGCGAAGCGATGAGCCACATGAGGACGTTTTCGTGCTGCCCGTTCGGACTCGAGAATTCATTCCAATGCCCTCACCCATAAACCAGGAGAGTACTCCCAGTTCCAGTCTTAACACATCACCCCCGGGATCCCCATCCAGTTCTCCGCGTCTTATTTCTCCCGCATTTTCAAATTCCACAGCTTCCTCTAACCCGATGGTCATTACAGCTCATACATTTCCCCGATGCGCACCAGTAGATCAAGTTCCGTCCGGAATTTCACTGCATCAGCGTCCTGCACCCACCGTACCACCCGCTGGGATTACTGATTTGCAACGGGAGAGGCTACGTTTACAGGCTTTACACGAATCCAATGTACAGGTGCCCGGAACAAACGCATCTCCGGCAGTTACAATGTTAATGAAAACTGCAGCGACTGCAGATTCTCTTGAAACGTCTTTCATGCAACCCAAGGGAATAACTCAGAGTGGTTACTTTGATTCTGCGAGTGCGGGTGTTCAGTCGCAAGGGTGTGTTCCACGCCAGATTCTCTCAAAGGTCTCAATGGCCGTCACAGAGACGAAGATTCTCCCAGTCCAACAATCGGAGATGCAGAAGCAACAAATGAATCAACAAAATCAAAGTCTTCAACCAAGAGTGTTTGCGTACATCCCTCAGCGTCAAATTTATGACTCGGCAAACTCTGTCTTTACCGTTCCTACCACTGTTCAACCCAGACCGAACATATCACCTCAAATTGCTGTGAAAAAGGATTCCACCGTAGAATTCGCAAGTCAAATTACCTATCCTCCCCATGGAGTAGCTACTTCTAATGGTGTCACTCAAGTGGTCCCCTCAGCCAAACAACCTGGTTTAACTCCCGTCCATGCGATGCAGTATTCGGACGTGTCTCCAAAATCCACTGCCGGAACAACTTCAGGAAGGAAACGTCCTCCGTCGTCCTCAAAAAGGAAGAAGTCGTTGTCGGGCCATCAAAGCATACCACAAGGAACTAAAGTGTCAATCCCTGCTGGTCCTATGACTTTTGTTCGGAATCCTCTCGTGGCTCCTCAAGGCATGGACTTCGCACAGCAAGTGCAGCCACCCATACGGCAGCCAACAGCGTCACAGGAAGCCATGAACAAACTGGTTTATTTCGATTCAAAGAAGTTTTTGTCTGATCCTGCTCTGGAGGCATTCGCATCTGCTCTCCCTCCGATAGGTAGTCCTGCGTGCTCTACGATTTCATCAGGTGATGAGTCCTGGCTTAGTAATTGTGGAATAAAGTACAGATGCAGCGGCCTCGCCTTGAAGGCTGTTCGCCCTTCTGAACTTGGTGACACTCCGACAGAATTGAGTGATCTATATCTCTACCAATTTCTGCCGCAGGCTCTAACTCGTCCGACGGTGCAGCGCGCTACTCATACTGCAAAAAATAATGAGATCCCATCTCGCGTCTGTGTGTCTCCTGAACCAGTGACTCTGGATAACCGAATGCGGTCTTTTTGGACGACGCTACGACACAGTGATTCTCCGGCTGCGGTGGATTCTGGTTCGGCTGCTGATAGTGGTGATTCTTGTTCAATCTTATTGATGCTGAAGACGCCTTGTTCACCGTCCGAGGGCCCAGCAGAAAGCAGGACTCCTCCCCTTCAACTTTATCATATTCCTAACACTTGTTTGCTTAAGGCTACACAACAACCTCATCGAATTTCCAACGCCACTGATGCTTCCTCGACTGACAGCGAAGTTGGCGAACCGGTTGGAAGCGGTCATGAGAAGCTACCTGCCAAACCTGACTCCCGTATAGTTTTCAGTGTCAGTCCTCCTCACTTCGAAGATGTTCCGAGGCTTCTCAAGTATTTGTGTGATCATGTTGGAATAAGCCAAAATCATGTCACGTATAACAAGGGTGAGGTCATTATTCAAAATCCGGAGGGTTCTTCACATTCCGAAGACCAGCTGCGTGAATTTGGGAACCAGTTGAAAATATACTTTTCAAGTGTGTCCGTTCGGGTTGAGTCGTCGGCATCCACCAGCGCCAAAACAGAAGAAAGCAGTGACTTTTCAAGTCAAATTAAATTGTTTGCTGAGCTGCAGAAAGAGAAGACTGAAGATCCCATTATGCAAAATTCGATTCCTCCTAAACACAAGGAGGAGACTATTAACATCGCCTCCATAATTTCCCAGAAAAGGATGATTGGTGAGCGATGTCGGATCTGTCACTCCATTGTACCCCGAGATTCAGGTGTGAGGCGGAAGTTGGATGAATTAGTCGGTGCGTCTTCTGTCTTGACAGTAGATCATGGATACCACGCCTCAGATTGTTTTGTGTTCTGCAGTGAGGTGTGTTTGAACAAATTTATCCACTTCATTTCCTCTCACTCGCCTTCTGCTCACACTGCGCAGTTCAATAGCAACGCTCTCGAACCAGCGGTATCACTTGTTGAGTCTCGTCAGCACCCTCAACAGCTCGTTTTTGGTAGCATGCCGGGTTCCATTCCCGTCCTTCTTCAACATCTGCCTCACAAGAGTCTTAAGTCCCAGTCTGGTGGACGCCGGAGTTCCTCACTCTCCATGGGTAAGCGGAAAGTTTCCCCCAAGCAGAAGCGATGGCGTGACGTGCGGTGGCGCATATACAAATCCGACGTCTATCATGCGCGAAAGTTTGCCAGTGTGTCACACATGTCTGCCGAATGCGAGCCGCAGACTCCCCGGCTTTTGTGCACCGTCATCCGTGATCCTGAAGTTCCTGATACACGATCGTGCATTCTGTGCGGTGCCAAGGGAGATGGCAATGTTTCTACGACGGAGCGCCTTCTCTGTCTTGGTCCTGACCGGTGGGTGCACCTAAATTGTGCTCTTTGGTGTTACGACATTTACGAATCTGTGAGTGGTTCGTTGCACAGAGTGGATGAAAGTATCGAACGCGCATTGAAAACTAACTGTTCACACTGTGGGAAATTGGGTGCTGGTCTTCCTTGCTACAATCCGAGATGCTCTCTTGTCTATCATGTCCCCTGTGCTATTAATGTCGGATGCATGTTCTTCACTGATCGTGGAATGTATTGTACGCGTCATCAGCCGCGTGACTCTCATCCAATGCAACTAACCTCGCTGGTAGTGAATAGGAAAGTTTACGTTACTCGGGATGAGAGTTTACAAGTGGCAGACGTTGTTCGAGATGAAACCTGTGCCTACCGAATTAGAATTGGAAGTCTTATTCTGAACAGTGTGGGGCAGCTTCTGCCTCGCCAAATCGAAAGTGATCATTTCCATACACAGAAGTACATCTATCCTGTTCATTATTCATCCACACGAATTTACTGGTCTATGCGACGTCCTGGTCAGCGTGCACTATATCATTGTAAAATTAAGGAACGAGAAGGTCGTCCACTCTTTCAAGTCACGGCCGTCGATAAGGGTCTTCCAGATATCGTTCTTCAAAGCGTCAGTTGCAATGACGTATGGAAGGAAATTGCAACAAAAATTCGGCAGCTTCGAAGGGAGAATGGTTTGATACAGAATTTCCCTGAATTAATTTGTGGTGAAGATATGTTTGGTCTATCTGAGCCGCACGTTGTTCGAGCCATTGAATCCCTCCCTGGGGTAGATAATCTCATTGATTATGCCTTTCATTTTGGCCGCCTGCAGCTAATATCAGGTATGCCACTGGCTGTCAACCCTTCCGGTTGTGCGCGTTCTGAACCAAGTTTTCTCACCTCTCTTCGACGTAGAAGGGCTTGTGCAAGTTCTCTTGAGAAGTCTCCTATGAAATCAGTTTGTTGCCAATTTAGAAATCCTGGACGTCAATTGTCCGGCATCTTTTCACATACCAATTTGCCTTCCACTTCTGAACCATGGACTCGAATTTCTATAGATCTGACGATGCCAAAAAATCCCACTCTTGTGAGCTGGTCACATCAGTATCGGCGCCTAAGGAGTGAATTCAATAACAATGTCGCCTTTGGCCGATCACGTATTCAAGGCTTCGGGTTGTTTGCAGCCCAGGATTTGGAACCTAACACAATTGTCATTGAGTACATTGGGGAACTTATTCGACTGGAGTTGGCTAACAAACGAGAGAAGGAATATGAGGCGCGCAATCGAGGAATTTACATGTTCCGGCTGGGCGACAACATGGTAATCGACGCCACCATGTGCGGAGGATTAGCGCGCTACATAAATCACTCATGCCAGCCCAATTGTTTTACCAAATATGTTAACTTTGACAACGAGGGACACATTGTGATTATTACCAAGCGAAAGATAGAGAAAGGTGAAGAATTGACTTATGACTATCAGTTTGATTTGGAAGATCGAACAAGCAAGATACCCTGTCTCTGTGGTGCAGTCGGTTGTCGAAAGTGGATGAACTGATCTCGGAAGAATTGATCTGGTGCTTCTCCTGTGTATAGCCATGTAAATATCCTTTCGTGCTTGAGGCGTGTACATAAAGTGAGCAGGATCTCTTACCACACCTGTCTATACGATTGCGTTAGCCGAGAGGCGTTTCTCTCCTGATCTCATCGTTACGCCCTCCTACGGCCTCGACTGCCTTTCATGTAGATAAGTGTCACCGACCAGCGTGCTTCCTTTACCCTTCCCGCATTGACAGCCCTTTTTGTTAGGACTGGTACACTTCTCGTGCTGAGACATTCCTTACTCCTCTTCCTCCGCCCACTTCCAACTATTACTACTGCGCTACACAAATCTGATGCTGCTCAAATCGTCTTACACGACTGACTAACCCCTTTCTCCTACCCTTACACACACCATAGCACACCTTTCCCTCTGTTAGCGCAACACTTGTCTGTACATATCTGTATTATGTATATTTTCTTACCTTTACTGCGTGTGACGCCATTGTGCGTGTCAGATATCGTGTAAAACAAATCTGCTTTTGTATGGAGTGCTCGCTGTAGTCAGTGGGGAATCGAGTTGTTGGGGCTGTACTTGTGTGAGGATGCAGTTGGTTGTGCTTGTCCGTCAAGTTTTGCTTTGCGGAGGTTTCGGGTGTTTGGATCCTGTTTTGATCTCTTGTGGTTGTTTGATCGTTCTTTGGGACGTAATTCGGCTCAGTTTTCTAAGTAAAGTTGACATTTGTTCTCTGTTATTTTTCTTTTGATGGTGTATCAATTTGCATTCTTTGAGAGAGGCTCAGTTGTGTCGTGTCCTGCATCGAATTCTGTCGCCTCGCTTATGATCTGTCCATCTGAAATCTCGTGTTTTGTATTTCTCTGATTCATGGCCTTACGGTCCAAAATGCATCAAGAGCGATTTAACCACGACGGTATCTTTTATCTTTTAGCCCTCCGATGGTAACTTGATTTGGTGCCAGTGGATCTCACTAGAATTGGTTTCGTTGCTTCTATTAAAAAGCCTTCGCTATGGATAGCACGACACCAAGACTGCGGTCGAATCGCGATAATAAATGGGTCTGCTCTGTGGAACACATTCATGTGGATTAATTCACATCAATAGGGAGTCCAATATCGCAACACATTTGAAGGATCGGAGTTGGAGACTTTGAAGTCAGACGTTCATATATACTCCCCTTAGGATAGTCGCTCTTTTAATTCGAATCTTGTCCTTTGAACTATTAGGTTTTTATAAATGTCGAGCATTGTCTAAAGGGCAAAAATTTTGGTGTAAAGATGCTCAACTGTTCTTTGAAGATTGCTACGATCAAATCGAATTGCTCACATGCTGTTTATATTGCGTTGGAGGATCGTTATGAATTTTCTAGTTCTAACTGCCGACTTTGATGGCGGTTGAATTTCTCGGAGCCTCTCCAAACCGTCTAAACGTTGACATGGGGTTACCTAAAATCCATTTTGTCCAGGTGTAATTATAATGTGATTGCATAATTCAATTGAACCGACAGATAGGTGGTTCTTGCGTAATTTCCGCTCCTTCCCACTTCCCATAACTTCTGCCTTAATGGGTTTTCTGACCTTCAAATACCACTCCATTTGTGTACTGAGCGGCAGAAACAGCTTTTGAGTTAACTGCATCTTGAAAAACTGTACTTAGTCGGTAGGGGTACTCGAGTGTTCTACGGAGAGAGCGATCGGTTTCCACCACTGCCAGATCTGAGATTGATGCATTCTTCGGGCTAAGACTTTTGGACCGCTTAATAGTTAACTAATAGTTCAGATACAACGTCCGTACTTTATACAAGGAAAGTGTTAGCAGTCACAAACTTTTCAATGGGATAGAGAGACCATAGTTCTTTGCTCTTTTATGCTATATAAGGTGTATCAATTCCAGCATCAGAGATGTGTTTCTCAGCAAAGAAAGCTATTCTTTATCTGTTTATTTATTCAATACTTTCCAAAAATTTCGTTACCCGGTGGAGCTCATTCATTCTCTATCGTGGTTCGATGCCATTTTATTACTTGGTTTGAATCTATTGGCTCAGCGCTCCTAGTATCATACTTACCATACTTTTATTTTCCGAAAATTGATGACAACATTGCAACCAAGCAATTGCGCATTCAAAAAGTCTTTTCTTGAAGTAGCAGAGGATAAGGAAATGATGAAGACACTGGTCATGTCCATAATGAGGTGAGCAAAATAGGTCATCTTATTTTGTCCTCTTTGCATCAGTTAGTAAAGGGGCATTGCATTACTGTACGGCAGAAATGGGATATAATTATGCCAATTGCTAAACAACTTCCGAGAGGCATTTTCATCTGCCTTTGTGCATTTGCTAATTGCTGCATCAATTAGGAATACATTACACTCTCGTTGTAGCCCTTGAAGAGGTGAGGATTTCGGCCTTTAAGCTGAACGATCGTAATCTTGTTCAGTTGAATGAACAGCGTTTTCTGGAAGAAGTCCATCTTATGTGTTTGCAATCTGACATCTGTATACTTTCAAGCCGAAGTCTCAAGGTGGTGATAAAATCGGCCCGCATGTGAGGATTGGCGATTGTAGACTTGATTGATGTGTTTTGAAGTCAGTACAGTAGGAGGACTCTCTAAATTTAGGCTAATTTTAACCGCTTAAGCCGTCTTATTCCGTGCCTTTTAGGTATGCACTTACATGACGTTTCTCCATGGTTCTACCGCCAAACAAAAAATACATTTATAGCCTGTCAAGTTGTCTTTTTTCGAATATTCGATTACCTATCCTTTGAGATAGAATCTCAACCGGAGAAAAAGTGTTGCTGCAAGCTTATAATCCATCCTGACATAGGCGCAAAAGCTGGCCGTGCCATGAAGGAAAATTGTTACGTTCTGGGGAAAAAAATCCAGTTCTTTACAATAGCGTCTGAACCTCTTTGGTATACCGCCGTGGTAAGCTAACAAATTAATAAGTTTCGGGTGCTTGTGGACTTACTAAATGGTGGGCCACGCCCACAATGTGGTTAATAATATGGTAGACATTAGTTGCTTGTGGCAAACCTGCTTCTGGCGCTTCAGGGTCTGTGGGTGACGATTCGTGCCCGCTTTGATAGATCCTCATGGCGTTCAAACCACTTTAGATGTACGAAAACTAACTGTGTCTAAGCCAAATTTGACAATATAGTTCTTATTCTCCACATTCTAGTCCAAACAGTAGTAGTATTGGGAGTGCTGTAGCAATTAGTTGTGCGCGAATCCTCGTGTACATTTCACTAATCTATCTGAAGCAAAAAATCAGAAACACCTATAAATGCTCTGCTTGCCCTCTAATTAAACTGGTTTCTGGAAAACAGTGAGTTTTTTTCCTTTTTCTAGCAACTCATGTGGGAAATCACTTTTTGTCCAAACCTCACGCACGGTCTATAAATACGAGTCTGCACAACTCGCAATTAATCAGATAAGATGCGAAGGACCTGAAAGTTCTCCAGCCTCTCTTTATTACCTGCAGTCAATAAGGAGTTCTCATGTTAAGGAAAAAACAGACAGTCGATGGCAATCATGCCTTTTTCCCGGTAAAACCCTTGTGAGCGGAATGACGATCCTTGATACGGCAATTCTGTTGCCTTCCCTGCATTTCACCTCTTCAGAATGGCACTGATTGGTCGTCGCGCTCTGATTCCTTACATATTTTGACTAATCTTGCTGTGTCCTCACCCATTTTTACTGCCATTAAATGGCAATACCAACTGTTTCGTCCCATTATCGAGCATACTATTTTTTCTTCATTCCGCCTGCAATACAAAAATTCTGTTTCCACAAATCCACGCTTCTAACCTTGATGTGAACGATTTGGATAGGAAACCTTGGCAGCTTTTTGAGACAGAAAAGCGTTATCATTTGTTTTGCTGTAATGCAATGACATCCAACAACGAAAGTAACCTCTTTCTTTTAGCATCTAAGCGTGACTTTCTCTAATGACTTCCATTAATCTTGGTTGTCTAACCAAAAGTAAATTGCCAGTGATGTAGATCCATTCGATCTCACTGAATGCATTTCTCTTATCACACATCACATTCAACGGTGACTAATAAACACATGCCATTCACTTCGAATTAACGATTTTTCCTTTTTGCCTTCGTTTGCTTAACTTTTTCGATCCGTTCCTTGTTCTTGGTAGATGAATAGGTCGTTGGTCTGACCGAATAAGGTCCTATAAATGCTTACCTCTCGGCTTTCATCACCATGAAGAAAATTCTTACTTCTCTCCTCCGACAACGGTCTCAAATCTAACAAACACTATTTACTTATCGGACCAATGGTCTTGTACCTGTCCATGTTTTGCTACTGTTTTCTAACGTGGACAAAGTCCACGATGGGTCCTTGCAGATGCAATACCTCACTTGAAATACAAATCAAATGAACCAAATCGAAACAATGGTGATAGCAAGCTGGCGTTAAATCCAAGCGAAACAACCTATAAATGAATCAATCAAAGCTGAAGAGAAACAGCTTGGAGTAGTCACATGTCATTTCGGAAAACAAACCCGTCACTTCTGAAGTTATCCCACTTTCTCTCTATTTAACAGTATGAAATGCCAAACCATCAACAAGATGTCATGCTGTTCCAAAACGAATTTTAACCAATCAAAGGCGAATGACTCTTATCAGGTGACATCGGCGCTAGTGGTATCAACTAGACCCCTCTGAGTGATTACGAAAGTTTTTTTTTTAAATCACTTTCCTCTTCCGTAGTCCATGGTACTCATGTCACGACGGTGCTTTTACCTACTATCGCACTTCAGTGTGCCTCGAGAGGGCAACAAGTCGCTCCCACCCTATTATCAGCTGCCTTTACGTTGCTTCTCATTCCTCCTGTTTAACAAGCTCAAACTGCGAACTTGCATATTTAACTAGCAGTTCTAAGGTGATATTTGGTATCAGAAAAGCAAAAAA